CACCCAAAAGCAGGAAACCGCGTGTCAACGCATATCCCCTCGGCCCGGAACTCCAGGCCGTGAGATTTGCGCGGCAGACAAGTTGTAGTACACCTTCAATGGTTAGTAATCAAACTCAAAGTGGTAGTAGTTCTCAGTCCTCAAATTTTGGAGGTGATAAGAAAAATGCTATGAAAGAAAAGTGGAAAAAGAGGCAAGAAGATAAAGAGGCAGTAGTTCTATCTCATGAGATAGATAGATATTTGTCAGATGCTGCAGAATAGGATGTTGAAGAGTTTGATATTTTAAATTGGTGGAGGGTGAATGGTTCTAAATATCCAGTGTTGGCAGCCATTGCAAGGGATGTGCTTGCAATTCCAGTCTCTACAGTTGCCTCAGAATCTACTTTTAGCACGGGAGGGAGAACAATTAACTCGTTTCGTAGTTCGTTGAGTCCTGCTATGGTTGGGGCTTTGATTTGTACACAGAATTCGTTAAAGTCCACTTCAATATCTTTAGAAGTTGAGCCTACCATTGAAGAGATGGAGTTCTATGAAACAATTGAGTCAGGTAATAACATATATGTTTTAATTGTTTATAACTTGTGTGTTTATTATGTTGAAACTAAATTTGTGATTGTGTTTCTTATGTAGAAATGAAGAAATCAAATGCTATGGGGCCTTTACATGTTTCTTGTGATTGAGAAAGGAAATGAAGACATGTTGCGTATTGTTTTTTGTTTTTTGTTTTTTTTAAAATTCTAGTTTGATTTGTATTAATTAGTTGGATATTGAAGTTTATTTCTATTTGTACGCAAATGTGGGATTATATGCATGTTGAACTTTGTTTTACTGGAAATTTGCTTAACTTTCCATGTTTGATGTATTGGATTTTTGGATTATTTGATGATAATTTTGTTATTTGTAGCTAGATCAGTTTCTGTTTTAGGATGTTTGTTAACAGGTTCTTTGTTATTGTAAGATGTTTTGTTTTATGTCTAAACCGGCCGAACCAAACCGCACCAAACCGATTATGAATGGTTTGGTTTGGTTTGGTTTTCAT